TGAGGCTGGCATAAGGGGATTAAGATGCTTAAATAGGGTACAAAACCCCGAAATTAGGGTTTCCTCAGCTCTTTCGTCTTCTTGTCGAGAATAGCTACCGGTCTCTCGATGTAATTCTGGATGTTATCAACCTGAATATCCTCTAGAGGCACAACCACTGATTCATCCACTAAGCACTTCTGTAGCTAAGATACATGGAAAGTGTTGTGGATCTGGCTGAGCTCTGCTAGAAGATCGAAACAGTAAGCAACTCGGCCCACCCGAGCCAAAACCCTAAACGGGCCAATGTATCTGGGGCCCAGCTTGCCCCGCTTCCTGAACTGGATGATACCTTTCCAAGGTGACACCTTTAGGAGCACCATGTCGCCCACATGAAACTCCAAGTCTGAGCAGCGCTTGTCGGCATAGCTTTTCTGCCGACTCTGAGAAGTCTGGAGCCTGCTCCATACTCGTTGGATCCTCTCGGTGCTCTTGAGTACTACCTCCATACTCCCCATGACCCTCTAACCAACCTCACCCCAACAGATTGGGTTCCTACACTCCTTCCCGTAGAGCATCTCGAAGGGAGGTCGGTTTATGCTGGCATGGTAACTGTTGTTATATGAAAATTCCGCTAACGGAAGATACGTATCCCAACTACCGCCGAAATCCAAAACACATGTGCACAACATGTCCTCTAGGGTCTGTATCGTGCTCTCGCTCTGTCGATCCGTCTGAGGACGGAAACCAGTGCTGAAGTGGAGACGAGTACCCATCTCTTCGTGAAACCGCTTCCAAAATCTAGAAGTCAAATGAACATCTCGGTCTGACACCACCGAAACGGGCACTCCATGACGTGCCACTACCTCATGGACGTAGATCTCTACTAGCTTCTCAGCCGATATACTCTCCTGGATCGGGATAAAAATGTACACTCTTGCTTAACCGATCCACTATGACCCATATCGAATCCACTCCATGTGCGGTCCTAGGAAGCTTGGTGATAAAATCCATAGTGATGTCTTCCCATTTCAACATGGGAATTTCCAACGGCTGCATCTTGCCATGAGGTCGCCGGTGCTCGGCCTTGACCTTCGTGCAGGTTAAGCACCGGTCCACATACCATGCCACGTCCCGCTTTATGCAGGGCCACCAGTAATCAGGGCGAAGATCACGATACATCTTCTTCGCCCCGGGATGGATGGGGAACCTCGACTTATGGGTCTCATCCATCAGAACCTATCATACTCCGCCCCAATACGGAACCCAGACCCTCCTATGCAGGGTTAACAACCCACGGCTGTCATAATCAAATGAGGCCACCTGGCCTATGATCCGCTCCCACTTCCAGCGCTCCTCCTTCATACCCTCGACCATACATACAAATACAACCACATGCAAGAATCACAAAGACATCAAACATACTAACATTCTTCGAGTACCGCCCCGGTATCGGATCAAAATCTAGAAAACATATAAACCTACATCGGGCCCCGCCCGACATCGGACCTTAGTCTGGAACATACTAACATACATAAACAGGCCAGCCTGGTGCCTTGTACCCGTCCTTATAGGAGAAAACTGACCTCGTATAGCTAACTGTGAAATCTAGTGTGAGGAATCTCTGACGGCTGCTCCAACGACTCCCCGACTATCCTTATCACAATAACACTTAGTCAAAATATTATAATCCTTCTTAGGGTAAAATGACCATTTTACCCCTGGTCAAAGTCAACATTCTGGTCAAAGTCAACATTCTGGGTTGACTCAACTCGCCGACTTGACCCATCAACTCGTCGAGTTCTATAAATCAAAAACCCTGAAATCGCGATCCAACTCGTCGAGTTCCCTGCCTACTTATAGTCATGATTAAGCGAATCAACTCGTCGAGTCCCTTCACAGACTCGTCGGGTTCTACCTTGTACAGAATCGGGACAAATCGACAAAACTTGTAACATCCTGTTTATGATCGTCTATGATTTAGGGTTTGTAGGCTGCAAACAGGTCATGTGGAAGCCTTAAGGCTGCGATGATTTATTAGAAGCGTAGGGCTTCTCGCCACCTTTCCGTGGATATGAGGTTCATTCAAAACGAACTTATAACGACGAAGCTATGATAGTTTGAAGTTTCAACAAATTTAGTCCTTATTGAGAAAGGGGTGGCAAACGAGTACGTAGGGCGTAAGTATGTGGACGCTCAGCGTACTTATATGCGTAGCATGGACGCGGAGACCACCTAGTATGTTCGGCGTACCAGAGGGTACGCTGGGCGTACTAGGAAGAGATTGTAAACCCCAATATTTTTAGGTGACCCTTTTTAAGGAACATGATGGCCTCATTTTCAGCCACCATTTCCAGCCTCCAACTCCTCTCAAAACCCTAATCTCGTTCCATGGCTTGTGTGAGTGTGGTGGCTCATTTGAGTGTTTTTGGTGAAGCTCTTATTGAAGAAGGGGTCTTGAAAGAGGATAGCTTGTGCTTCTAGCTTGTGGATATGAGTTCTACCCTTGTTGATGCATCTTATGTAGGTACAAAGTTCGAAACTTTCTCATTGTTGTGCTAGTTATTGTTTCGGGTCCATTTTTAGGGTTTTATGTCCCAAGATTGGAACTTTGTGAGTTTGATGAACTCCAGAGAAAATCTCCTGTCCTTTTAAGTGTATTGGGTTGCCTTGATTCATAAAAATGAGAACTTGGTCGTCTAGACTTCTTCATGCATGAGTTAAGAGGATTTAAGAGAGTCTTAATGGCTATTTTGGAAGTTGGGTCCCATTAAGACATGCAAACTGATAAAGTCGCCAAACTTTATCAATTAGGAGCTTGTAACAAAGCTTTCCTGAGGTTTGGATGCTTTGGGTTGAAGTGGTTAAGTCGAAAATGGAGTTTCTGGACCTGAGCATTACGCCCCCCGTATTGGTCTAGTTTCCCCGATCAGGATTCGTGTGTACGTTGAGTGTACCAAGGGAGGCACACCCCGAGTAATCTCGCTGAAGGCAGAATTTTCGATTTTAAGCAATGAACAAACACTCAATGCATCAAATACAATAGAAACTAATCAAAGCTCTGATATCACTGATGGGTTTTGAGCATAACAACAATCTTATGGTGCACATGCAAACCCTAAAACTTTGGATCTAGGTTTCTCTATTGTACGTGCAAATTATCCAAAGCTTACAAACCCTAGATCTAGCGTACAAAATCCGAATATAACAAATAAAACAAGTTTAGATGATTACCTTTAGATTATTGCAAGAATCTTCAAGCTTTAAGAGCCTAGTATCACAAATGTAATACCTGTAATCGATCACAAACACCAAGGCAACAAGAATGATATTGGAGAGAGAGGATGGTGGCTCAAAATCGGCTCTAAGGACTCTAGGGTTCTTCTAGTGGCCGATTTTGGATGCCCTAGGGGTCTTTATATAGGTGAACAGCTAGGGTTTCAGTCAAAACTCTAATTGGATAGCTTAGGCCTTAATCAGCCCCAAGAACCTTCTGGAATAAGGCCTTAGACGATTTCAAGGTGGGCTTCCACCCTAATATTAATTAATCAATATGATTTCTCTTTTAATATATCATTTATATAATATATTAATAAACCATAATATCCTCTTTCTCCACTAATCATCCAGTCAAGTAACTCCGACGAAGGCAACCCAAAAGGACCATGCTAGAACCGGGTCAAGTACATACCAAATATAATTATGGACTTAGACACTAATCCAACACTATATACATGGACCACAAGAGTCTGAAGTGCCTCATAGATCAACCCAACCTGAATATGAGATAGAGGAGATGGTTGGATGTAGTGAAGGACTACGAATGTGAGATCTTATATCACCCAGGCAAGGCTAATGTCGTAGTCGATGCCTTGAGCCATAGAGTAGAGAGTGCTCTAATTCGAGACATGTGCATGAAGATGGCGGTGATAAATCCAGTCCTAGATACCATCCGAGAGGCTCGGGTGCAGACTGTGAGTCCCAAGAACCTCAAGAGGGAGCGAGTGATCGGACAGGTTTCCGAGTTTGAGACGGCTAGTCGGAGGCTTATGACTTTCCGAGGGTGAATTTGGGTGCCCTATACAGGTGGAGCTCGGCGTATACTGATGGAGGAGGCACATAGATCGATATTTTTGATCCATCTAAGATCCACTAAGATGTATTTGGATCTGAAAAGAGATTACTGGTGGCCTTGTATGAAGAGGGATGTGGCATGGGTAGTTGAAAGGTGCTTGACCTGTTGCCGGGTTAAGGCGGAGCACCAGCGTCCATAAGGGTAAAATGTGAAAATTTTCAAATAATTCATAGATAAATCAAGCATGAAAGAAAATTCAGTTTTACAAAATGTGACTAAAGTTGAAAGTTAGTTGCCCTCTCAAGTAATTATCCCTTTATTGATTTACAATATAGATTAGGGATGAGCATAACTGGATACCCACCTATTTTAGCAGGAACTGGAACCGGCAGTTCTTAAGTTTTTGGTATTGGAAGAGGAACCACCTACACCGGTTCCTAGAAAATTGGAACCACTCCCTCAACCGTCCGGTTTCGGTTTCGGGTACCCGACTTCTTTAGTATTATAACTTGTTATTTTATACATGTCATGTAAATTATGTAAATTAACCTATATAAATAACATAAGTACAAGATATAAAACCAAAACATTTACAAAAATTCGAGCTTTTAAATAAGAAGTTGTGAAAAACGTTTCCCACTTTTAAATAGCACAGCCAACAACAACTACAAACTATAAAATAGTAACAAGGGACTGAAATTGTAATTCATAAAAGCAAAAACAACAACAATAAAAAAAGCAAAAACAGAAATAGTAAAAGCAAAACAACAACACAAATCAACAATAGCACAAATCAGCAACAATAGCAGCAACACATAGCAGCAAAAACAACATCGAAAAACAGCAACAGCAAAAACAGAAAACAGCAACATCAAAAAACAACAACAACAATAATTACTTATTCCCTTGTAAGAAATCTTCCATATTACGAATGATTTCAGAAATGAAATTAAGCATAAAAAGTCAAATTTGAATAATAAATATTATACAAGAAACATAAAATAAAATAATAAATAACTGTGTAACTTACCTTCTTGGTATTTTTCCACATCATCCAATAATTGTTCAAAGTCAATACAAACATTTGATGCCCTCAACCAATCTTGAGTATATATCAAATCTTCCAACGTTTTTGGAAGCAAATTATTATGAAAGTCATCTACCACACAACCGTATGTACTAAAAGTAGACTCACTAGCAACTGTGGAAACTGGAATGGCTAGAGTGTCCTTTGATGTCAACACCTTGTATGTTGTGCTTTTGTCACTCCACCACTTCACAATTTCAAATGTTTCATTATTCATTTTTCGGGTGGAGCATCAAGATATCCCTCAAATTCAGATTTTTCCATAGCATCTTCAAAATCATTTTCAAACAACACCAACAAAACAGGGACAAAGTTTGTGAATCAAAAAGACTAATAATTTAAAATATCAACATATAAAACAAACAAACACACAATCTTCACCAATTAACACTAAACTTCAACTAGATGGAACCCTTAAATAAAAAACAAAAACAAAAGAAAAATAATCTATTTTTTGGGAAAAAATTGAAAGAAAACAAGATTCTCACCTGGGTTTTGTCTAAAAGAACAGAATACCAAGTTCTAGTGTCCATATATCCAACAGATGAAGATGAAAACGAAGCGAGTCTGCAATCTGAATATTCAGGTATCTAATTAATAACAACCAATATATCTTATTACTGTAAGTTGTAAAGTCAATGAACTTCTGATTATAATGAATTCTCATTACACACAAAAAAAAGTGAACTTCTGATTACACAAAAAAAAAAGCAATAAACTTCTGATTATTGTATCTTCAACACACCACAAAGCACAAACCAAGTGATCTGCTCCCAATTAACTAAGGAAAGTAACAGATGCAAAAAACCGAGATATCAATTCTAGCTTTCTTTGACTCTTAATTACTGACTACAGAACATAACATATTATTGGATCTTAGACATGGAAGTAAAAAATAAGTGATTTGATTACATACTAGAACTTTTCATTATTGTATCTTCGATATGGAAGCAAAAGATATAAAAAAGGTATTATAGAACATATAAATAGTACCGATTGAGGAGGTTTGGTCAACGATTGAACAAGATGACTGGAGATTTAACAACGTCGGAGAGGATAGAGAGAATAAGACAGCTGTCAACGTCTTACGAACTAGTTGTATTCAATCTAACTGGCTTTAGCGGAGTGTGGTGATAAAAGCATTGGTAAAGTAGTTGCAGATTGAGCCTTCTATTGAACATATATGAGTGGCGATTGAAAAACCTAGGTTACGACTTTGAAGAGAGTAACAACGGATGGGGTTTGATGTTGCGCGGACGACGATTGAAAAGAGATCGATGTGGTATTTCTTGTTAATCGATCATACGAGCAACGAAGATGAATGGTTTGAGAGGGGAGAGTGACGAGAAGAAGGGATTTAGGGTGTCGGCGTTATTTTGTAAGAATAAATCACCAAAAGGTTCAAAACCCTAAAAACAACTAAGGTCTAACGTAATCATGTATTAGTATTTTCCCCTATTTTTTAAATACAACATCAATATTATATATAATATATATATATATATATATATATATCTATATATATATATATTATATATATCTATAATATATATATATATATATAGTGATGTTGTATTTAAAAAATAGGGGAAAATACTAATACATGATTACGTTAGAAAAAAGGCGGGTAACTGTCGGTATCGGTTCCAGTTAACTGCTGGTTTTGGGTACTCAGTATTGGAACCGGAACTAGCGGATATCCAATGGGTATCGGTTTCTTAAAAATGAGAATTGGAACCGAAACCACTTAAGGCGGTTTCTAGACTTTAGGAACCAGAACCAGAACCACCTAAGGCAGTTCCAGTTCCAGAACTGACAGTTCTGATGCAGTTCCGGTTCCGAAAGCAGGTACCCGCTTTCGCTACTCATCCCTAATATAGATCGTGGGACATAAAAGTAACTTGATAAATTGGTGCATCAATTCCGTTCCTTATCTTTTTTTACCTATTTTTTATAAATAATTTTAAGATCTTCACAAACACTTATGGTTTTCAAACTGAAAATGACTTAGAATGGTAATAAATTTTTAATTTGTTCATATATATGGAACTTACAATGATAACATCTGAATACCTTTAACAAATTTGATAACCAATCATTTACAATATTTTTGTCCATAAATGTGAAGAGAATTAAAAGTTTATTACCCCTTAAGTCACTTCACCTTTTTAGGGTGTTGTTTATTAAAAGTTAATCTCTTGTTAGTGAAGCTATTTAGTCCCATTGTCACTTAGGAACATATGTGGATAGCTAGAACCTTGAAAATAACCTGAAATGTATTTAAAATATTACAAACACAAAATTTTTTATTCTAAAATGTTTACTGAGAGTTTAGCAAGTTCTTGAAAGATCTTTATACCCAATACTCATTACGGAATGATATTGTTAATGATATATGATCCCCTAAGGTCACACATTATAGCAAGTT